AGTTGACTTCAGGCTTCGCAGAGGGGAGGAACATCAAAGTAAGAAAAATTCGTGATGGAGAGCAGAAGCGAGATTCAAAGATGCAAAAGAGGTAGACAGACACAAAGGCAGGGAGAAAGAGAAATGAATACTGTGGAAGGAGTAGAATATAACATACAGTGGGGCCATTATAGTTTGAGGTCAGAAGTCAACTGCCGGTTTATAGAAATTTTTGCCGCTTGAGTATACGTTTTCCAGAGTGCACCATGTGGAGGTAAGTCTATCACATACCCAATTCGCTAAATATTACTGCCTATTAAAGTCGGCCAACATTAAGTAGGCATCTGACATCTAAATTTCATTCTCTCTAGAGGTTAATAAGATTAACAATCAGATGGTGCGAAATTATGCGATCCGGTTTTATTTATGAGTTTTATTCATCTATCTACAATTATTTTAACGATCATTTTAACTGGCTTAAGAGGTTCTAACGCATAATTAATCTTAGGTATCATATGTACTTTTATGATGGTACATCGGATATTTGAATAAAAGCAGCGTTCAGTATGAGGATTAGATAGCAAAAATTGTCCGATTGTGATCACGAATGTGTCCCGTCGTGTGAGTTTCTTTGGCCCAAAATAATCATTTTTATGGTCACAAGAAAATATTTTCAGGCGAAATTATGTTTTTGCTCTCATTTTAAGGAATTTCAGCCATAAAAAATTGCATTAATCACTGCATTAATTCCTCCCTCTTTTTAAATTAAATTAGAGTTTATTTACTAACCGCTTCATTTGTCTTTCTCGAAAAAAAATTGCGGTAAACTGAGCGGAAATTGGCATACGTGTCAGTTTTAATAAATAAGGCTATGTGGTCCCAAAAGTGGCTTTATTTCCTCACGTGTCATTCATTCATTCTTATGTTTATCCAATTGCTTAAACTACCTGTTAACTCTGATCTTCAATTTGTTTATGCAATGACTTGAACTAATTCCAGTAAATTGTGATTTTTGGCAGAGAAATGTGCGCCAATATATTCATACATCCCTGTGTGCCTTGCTATTACTCAATGAAGATTTTCTTAATTAATTTCATGGTATTTCATGCAAATTTGATGTTCGCGTTTTAAGAATAAGGCCAGGCTTTAAGGAAATAAAGCATTTTGTAGCAGCTTGAGTTGTTGTCTTTTCATGTCTGGTTAAATAGGACTATTTGTTTAAATATTTGATGCAATAATAGTATAGTTTAAATCATTAATAATAATAATAATAATGAGTTCTAATAAGTTCTCATTTGAATTTGCATAACTGTGTCTGCAAAGCTTCATCTGAAATTGGATGATTGCCTGAAAGTTTCCAAGTGACTTACCTCTGTTTCATTGTGATTCAAATAAAAATAAAAAATAATGTCTAATAAGCCTTAGCTTGAATGACAAAATGCGAAATTCGCCAATTTTTAGCAGGAGTGAGTTTGGATAGCATAGTCACTCAGCCTTCTTTCTTACAAATATTATTATTATATCAGGGGTGTGCAGTAGACTTACCTCCACATGGTGCACCCTGGGCAACGTATAATCATACGGCAAAAGTCTATAAACCGACAGTTGACTTCTGAGTTCAAGCTATCATGATCCCACACTGTATGTCATATGGGGCTAATGATAAATATCTTAAAGCCTGCCATTTGAAATATATATTATTATATCAACTGGCAGGTTTTATGATTTTTTGCAAATATTATTAATCTATATAAGGGGTGTGCGATAGACTTACCTCCACGTGGTGCACCCTGGGCAACGTATACTCATACGGCAAAAAAGTCTATAAATCGGCAGTTGACTTCGGACTTCAAACTACCATGACCCTCTTGAATTTCATATTCGAATAATTCCACAGTATTCACCTCACCTATTTTCTACCTTTGTGTCCGTCTGTCTCTTTTACGTCTGTGAATCATTATTCTGTCCCCCTCTCGACATTTTGCCACTTTACTGTTTATCTTCCTTTCTGTGAAGCCTGAAGTCAACTAAAGGGTTAATGATACCTATCATAACGCCTGCCATTTGAAATAAATAAATAAACTTGACAGAACATCAAGGGTAGTGGAGAGATAAGTGGGGGCCTTATTCATCAGTTTTGAGGGTAGTGGGGGGAGGGGGGGAGGGGGAGAGAATCAGGTAAAACGAATTCCCCCTCTCGACTTTTTACCAGTTGAATGTTCCTCCTCCCCCCCCCTCTGTGTAGCCCGACGTCAACTAAAGGGCTAATGATACCTATCATAATGCCTGCCATTTGAAATAAATTAATTAATTAATCTATATAATCTATATAATATATATAAACTCTGGCCTGTAGTATGAACAAACCTATCTAATCTAATTAAAGTTCCGTTTCCCTTGCTTCCCGGGAATTCGTTTTACCTGATTCTCTCCCCCTCCCCCCCTCCCCCCACTACCCTCAAAACTGATGAATAAGGCCCCCACTTATCTCTCCACTACCCTTGATGTTCTGTCAAGTAAAAGGTGGTTAATTGCTAGTAGTTATTAAAAGGTCTATGGTTTCATAAGTTCATAAAAATTGTTACCCATTATAACTTCGCCACAATGCAGTTCTTCCATCATCATCATCACCATCACCATCACATCAAACACCATTGTTTGATTGTCAAAGAATTTATTTTCCCCATTCTTGCTTGCATTCCTCCACCTTTTTCAATTTCGGGAAGATATTTGTAACCAGTATTCTTAAAATTCGATTTTTTAGCTTATGCAAGTGTGGGAATTTTAAAGTACACTATCTTAAGTTGGGGCATGGAATGTAAAATTTGGGAATGTTTCCTAAGTGGTGATTGAAATTTTTGGTGATTATCTAAAAGGTGCATTGTATATGCAAAATGGGTTGCCGAAAATTCGCGTTCTGTCTACTGAGTGAACGAATCAGACTAATTGAAGGCAGTTGTCAACCAGATAGTATACAAACTGCTGTTCTATAGTAAATAATTGGGGGGGGGGGTTTTAAGATAATCTTCTATCCTAAATTTGCTTATTTATTTATATCAAATGGTAGGCGTTTTGATAGTTATCATTAGCTCTTTAGTTGACTTCAGACTTCATAGAGAGGAAGGAGCATTATTACTATTTCAAATGTCAGGCTTTATGTTGTTTATCATTAGCCCTTAAACTTTGACTTCAGCTTCCCCCATGGGTGGGGGGGGGTACATATATGTCAGTTAATTAATAGCAGTTCATTAGCCGTCTTCTTGCTTCCCAGTACCTCTGGTTTTCCATCGTTCTCTTTAGGGCTGGACACCGAATCAGGTGGGTCTTCTCCATAAATGTAGGTTACATAGAGGGCATGTGGGTTGAGTGTATACTACCATTTCCTCCTGTAGGTTACATAGAGGGGATGTGGGTTGAGTGTATACTCTTAGGTTACATAGAGGGCATGTGGGTTGAGTGTATACTCCCAGGCTACATAGGGGGCATGTGGGTTGAGTGTATACTCCCAATCAAGGTGGGCATGTGGGTTGAGTGTATACTCCCAATCTGTGAAGGTCCATGTGGGTTGAGTGTATACTCCCAATCTGTGAAGGTGTACATGTGAGTTGAGTGTATACTCCCAATCTGTGAAGGTGTTTATAGGCAATCGTGTTCGGTACGTAGTCTAAACTCATCAACGGTTGTCCAGTACGTAGTCTAAACTCAGCAACGGCTCGTATACTCCCAATCTGTGAAGGTGTTTTGCCAAGCAATCGGAAGGCTACATAGGGGGCATGTGGGTTGAGTGTATACTCCCAATCGGAAGGTCCATGTGGGTTGAGTGTATACTCCCAATCTGTGAAGGTGTACATGTGAGTTGAGTGTATACTCCCAATCTGTGAAGGTGTTTTGATAGGCAATCGTGTTCGGTACGTAGTCTAAACTCATCAACGGGGCAATCCTATGTCGGAGAGTGCCACTGTCCACTGGTTCTCCTTTGTTGTTTAAGTTCGTTGCACCTTGAGATCTTGAATTCTCTTCTGATCGGGAGAGTGCCACTGTCCACTGTTTCTCATTTGCTATATCGAAGAGTGCCACTGTCCACTGTTTCTGATTCTTGGCTAGTCGGCTATGTCGGAGAGTGCCACTGTCCACTGTTTCTCTGTTGTTCGAGCTTTGAGTTCGTTGAACCTTGAGGTCTGGAATTCGAGCTTTAATTTCGTTGCACTGGTCTGGAATTCTCTCCTGATTAAGGCCTTCATTATTGAGGTCTTGAATTCTCTTCTGATTAAGGCTATCATAGTGTGGAAAGGCATCCGCCAGTCCTGGTTTTAGCCAGAACGCTTGTGAGGGAGATTGGCCTATAGTTGTCAAAGTTGCTAGGGTTTTTGCCCTTTTTTTGTCAAAGTTGCTAGGTTCTTTGCCCTTTTTTAGTACTGGAAGTACTATGGCAACTTTCCATTGGTTAGGTACAAGACTGGTCTCCCAGATTTTGCTGAAAAGCGCCAGCATGGTTTCCTTGGCCTTTGGTCCCATTCTAATTAGAAATTCCCGATGAATACCGTCTTCGCCAGGAGACTTCTTGCACTTTAAGCATTAAGATTGCAAGGTCTGAATGGTTCAGTAAGTACATATTTGGTGTTGCTATGTCTTCCTTAATTTCACCAAACTGTCTTACTTGTATCTTTAAACCTCTTGAAGATTTTCTGGCCA